AGCAAAAATTTTGGTGCGATCTTTTGGCATTGGGCAAATGGGTCTTACATTCTTATACCATCTTTCAATTGTGTTTCGGTAAAGCTGGAAAGCTGTCTCATCCAAAAATAGGGTTTTCCCCCAATTATCATAAGATGATTTTGTGCCCACTCTACATGACGTTCTTTATGCTTATTGTTAGCATTGGGGTGGCTCTTGGCAAATTTTTCTTATATCCGATCCCTTCCAAACGCCTTAATACTGTTACATATGAGACCTCTATTCCTTTATTTAACATTTTATTAGCCAAAGACCTCAAAGAAATAGAAGAATCTCTATGAATATATTGTCCGATTGCACATGATGCTTCCGCAGTAATTTTCTTTTTTCTACCATTACCCCCTTTATGTTCCACATTACCATTTTTTTCAACTTTTCAATATTAAAATAAATAGCTGAGAGTGGGATGTTCATAATATTATGTAATTGATGAGCAGAACATATTCCCTGATTCCAATAATATAATAAGGTTGTATGTTGCTGTTCTTTTGTAGATTGTGTCATTTTATTAGCAAATTACACAAAAAATTTTTATTCGATTTGGTTAACAGATAAAACAGACTAAATCTAATAAAGAAAGGCTTTGTTTTGAATTTTATTTGATGCGGATCAGACCGTTTTTGGTAAAGTTATTAAATTTTTTTTTACATCAAATTTTTTTTGTAACACACTGTATAATTAAAATGTGACGAATATTAATTAATTAATAACTTTGTGAAATCCCAAGTCATGTGCCAAGAATTACAACTCGTTCGTTTTATTGATTCAAATTATGGCAAATTTGGATCAAATTTTTTTTTCTAAAAAAAAAAATGAATACAGTCGAAGAAATCAAAAAACAACGTGAAATATCGTCGAAGGGAAAAGAGAAGAGATTAGGTGAGTTGAGGCAGATGTTGGAAGATGAGAAATGGAAGAGATAGACGAGTTGAAAAAAGAAAAGGAGAGGTTGGAGCAATTGAAATATTTGCAACGTGCATTGGTTGAATTTGGCAAGGATAAAGGTAACAAACAAATTGTGTAAAAAAAAAAAAGTATTATTTATTTATTCATTCATTTGAGATCAACTAGTGGTTGCCTCCGTTGATTATCCGGGTGTTTGAGTACTTGGTCAATCAATAAAGCTCAACACCCGGATAATCAGTCAGTCAACTCAACACCCCGGATAATCGGTCATTCACCGAATATCCGCCAAATATCCACTGAATATCGTTGAATATGCATATTATTATTTTTTAAGAAATACTAATAACAACGATCAATTTTATTCGTTTGGCTGTCATTGTGTGCTTCCAGCTTCACTAAATACAGTCAAACCTTGTCGCAGCGGATGAATGAAGATTTATTTAAAACCTGTTGTGGCAAGATTTACTGATCTTGCCACAATGGTTTTTTATGTTATTATATTTTAATGTGAATGTGAAGCAAAAATTTAAAAATCCGTTATAATTATAGTCCGCTGTGACAAGGTCGCTCATTTGGAATAGAAGTTACTGCAATGCATAAATATTCTTTAAATGATAATGACACAGTTAGTATTCATATTACTTGATATATTATTATAATAGAAAGAATGTTAGTGGTGGATAAAATAGTATTAATATTAACATGATATTGGCCGTCGCGTGCCCAATATCTTATACTTAATGTATTTTTTCAAATAAAATACGAACAGGTCTCCAAAAATATATTTTTTCAAATAAAAAAACGGCAGGTCTCCAAAAATATAATTTTTCTTATTAATAATAAATAAATTCGGCAGGTCTCCAAAAATATTATCAAAAATAAAATAAAAATTTTTCCATTAATAATACTATTAATAATAAGTAATAATAAAAATATGGGCAGGCCGAAAATAATTTTTTTGTTAGCATTGATGATGATGTTAATTAGTGAATAATATATTTTCGGAGACAAATTTTGGATGTGATAAATTAAATTGTTATTTTTATATTAATATACGGGGGCAATTCTATATATCACCTAACAAATGATTAAATTTTGATCCCTGAAATTCTTGGTAATACCAATGTTCACTTTGTCTGGTTTGCCCCATTTAAATAAAATGAATTCAATATTTGAAAAATATTTCAATGAAAATGAAAGATTATTAAATACTGAAGATTTTTATGATGTAAAAATATGTGTTGGTGTAAAACCAAACATTAAAGAAGTTCATGCGCATGCATCTATCATATCTGCTCATTGTCCATTTTTCAACAATGAATTAAGTAATGCAACAAAAGAAAATGGATATTATATTATTAAGAAAGCTAACATTAGTGAAAAATGTTTCAAACCTATTCTCAAGTAAGTTTAAATAAATTCATTAGTATTGAATATATAATATAATGAATAATCTGTTTAATAATTTATTTATTGTTGATAGATTTTTGTACACTTGTAAAATTGAATTCAAAAATTATTCTGGGGCAGAAATAATGGAATTATTAACTGCAGCAGATCAACTTGGTATTGAGTCACTTTATGAATGTGTGATAAAATACTTTATTAAAAATCATGAAGATTATATAAAAGAAAATTCAGTTAAAATTCTGCAATTGATTTATGCCAATGAAAATTTTACAGAATTGAAAAATATCTATTTAGAAAAATTTTGTGAATATAGCGAAGAATTGTTTGAGTCAAGTGAATTTGAATTGTTGAAAAAACCAACTCTATTGGAAATTCTTAAAAGAGTCGATTTTTCTGTTAATGAGATAGTTATTTGGGAAAACATTCTTAAATGGGGATTAGCAAAACATCCAGAAATCAATAATATCAATCTTGAGGATTGGTCATTGCAAAATTTTGTTGATTTAGGCAACACATTAAAAGAATTTCTTTCTCTAATAAGATTTCAGGATATTTCAAAAGAAGATTTTTTTGATAAAATTGAACCATATCAAATGCTTTTTCCTAAGACTTTATGGAGACCCCTTTTACAATGTTATGTAGTTCCTGATAGACAAAAAATATTAAATTTATTACCATCAAGAATTTCAAAATTTAATTCAACACTTGAATCATTGACAATCAATCAAAACCTTACTTTGCTTTTTGCAAGTTGGATTGATAGAAAAAGTCCACCATATACCTCATTCAGGAAAGTCAAATATGATTTCAGACTTTTATATCGAAGTAGTAGAGATGGTTTAAATGCTGCTACATTTCATCAAAAATGTGATGATATCGACAAAACTCTTGTGGTTGGTAAAATACAAAATTCAGAGCAAATAGTTGGTGGCTATAATCCACTTGATTGGAATGGAAATGGATATAAGAATACAACAGAAAGTTTTATATTTAATATTAGTAATAGAAATGATGTTAATACTGCACAATTTAGTTATGTTATTGATGTTCATCGTGGGAAAGCAGTTTATTGTAATCCCGATGATTTACCTGATTTTGGTATTTCTTTTAATATTAATTATCGTTTTTTTCATGAAAATGGTAGTATTTATAAACCAGGTGGTTATAATGACATCAATATAGTAAAGAGTAAATTTGATGAATTAGAAGTTTTTAAAATAATTGATAAAAAGTAAATACAATGTTAGATTATTAATTTTATTATTATATTCTTTCTATAAAATCGTTTACTTTATTTATATCTTGCATTGATAATAAACTGTTAAACAGATGAATTACCACTAGTGAAAGGAAAGTTGTTCCAATATATAACTTGGGTATTATTTAGAGATCCCTTTTTATTTTATTGAAAGATCTTTATGATGTAAAAAATGTATGCTGATATAGAACCAAGTATTAAAAAAACCATCATCCTACTGGCCATCTAGTATGAAAAGTTAAGAAGTTTAATAAAACCACTGCTCTTTTACAACCAGATGAAAACTATTTATTCTGTTATCACGATTGAATTAAAAATTGCTCTGATTCAATGTATTTATTTTTGATCATCCTCTCATGATTCCCTAAAAAAGTCTATGCATTCCCAGATTTTGCCTGCAATAGATATATCTACAGGGAAAAATTATTGATTACCTAGAAATCAGTGTCAGTTATTGTAAAGGTGAAGATTTTGCCAAAGTAGCAGATATAAGAACCGTACCTCAAAACAAACATATTCAAATAAAGAAAAAAAAGTTGATGATAAGCTATATGATTATGATTAGCAGGCATAAATTTGGTATTTAATGTTATAGCTATTGTCATTTATATTGATAAAGAAAAGGTAGATAATTTGCTTATTTTACCTTTTCCAAATATATAATTAAAAAATCCTATTCCATATTATTTTTTCCAAAAATCTGTTTTTATTAATTAATTGCTCATTTTCATTCTACTTCTTTTACTATGCTTGTTATTTCAAGTGTTTGGGTAATGTTTATTTTGAAAACATAAGAAGCTATTTTCTCAACTTGTCCTTTTTTAAAACACTTCTCATAGTGCTATAATTCTCGAGTTCCATAGTGGATCCTATCCTATGTAAATTAATTTCATATATTTTAACTTTAGTTAGCAATACTAAAAAAGTATACATTATTAAGTGGTACAAATATGATGTTCAGTATTAGCAAATTCCAATCACTTTGAACCCTGAAATTTCTTTGTGAACTTTGTCTGGTTTTGTTGCAATGTGCCCATATATAAAAAGTTATTTTTCAAAACTATTATTTATTGAAGAAAATAATGATAATAGTAAAATAATGAAATGGCATTAACATCATTTCTCAACGATCCACTATTCTCTGATTAATTTTATAATCATGTTTTGAAATAATTGTGATAAAGGTGGTTGTGGGAGATAACAGAGGTGATTTAATCGTAGATTACACATCAAAAATAGAATTCTTCATCATGTATCTTCTTGAGTTATGGTGGAACATGAAGGTGATGCTGTGTGGAAGTAATATTAGCTAATCAAACAAAATTTTTTTTGGCAATTTTTTTTTGTTTAGATAAATATATTAATATTAAACCTGCAACTGATGCTTATGATGATGCTTTTGTGATTCTTTTTCTCATTTCAAAAAAGATTCCGCGTGGAAAAGCAAAGGTTGCAGTAGAATTCAAATTCAATAAATAATAATAATAGCTTGATTATTATGACTTCTTTTTAAAACAAATTATTATTTTTAATTCCTAAAAAATAACTAATTTGAATATAAATTCCCAATCAAATATTGCAAAATAATAATCTTGAAAATTATTCCTATGAATTAAGCCACTATAATAATAATAATAATAATAATAATAATCCTATTTAATAAAATCCAGTCCATCACTTTCTATAGGGCTAATATTATTTTCTTTTAAATAATCATCATTCCTAATAATGCACACAAAATCTATTAATAATAATTTTATTTTTCAAAATTTAAATTAAAAATATATTTTACTTACCAAAATTTAGTTAAATGCTTTATTCATGAATATTCATAAAAACATTAAGTTAATTTTCTCAAATTTAAAAAATATAAATATAAAAACATAAGAAAAAAAAGATAATTAATATTTACCCGTTGACCTGAATCACATAAAATTGTTACAATTCTATGCCCTGGACCTAGTTTTCTAGCTACACGTACACATCCAACACAATTAATTGCTGATGAACTTCCAACAAATAAACCTATAAATTCAAAAAAAGAAAAAATACATATATTGTTGTTGTTGCCATTGTTGCTGCTTGCTGTCATTATTATTATTATTATTATTACTTTGTTTTAATGCCAACCTTCTTCTTTAACCAAGTACCTTGCCATCAATACAGCTTCTTCATCAGTAACTTGAATAGCATCATCTATCAAACCATGTGCCATATTAAAATTTTGAGTCATACGATTTAATCCAACACCTTCAACTATTGTATCAACCTGATGCCTACGACGTGTACCCTCTGCTTCATAAGATGAATACATTACATTATGTTTAACCTTATGATATAATCCTGAACCTGGTGGATCAACAAGAAGAACTTTTAAATTGGGTATTAATTGTTTAAGATAACTTGAAATTCCTGCAATTGTTCCTCCAGTACCTTTAAAATTTATTTTTTAAAAAGTTATTTTAATGAAAAAAAATAGATATTTTAAAACAATAAAACAATCTGTCATTTACCAGCACCAGCAACAATTGCATCAATATTTCCATTTGTTTGTCTATATAATTCAGGTCCTGTGGTTTCATAATGAGCTTGAAAATTAGCCATATTCTCAAATTGATCAGCAAAATATCCAGTTGGATTATCTTCATTGTTATCATTAGCATCATTATGATTTGATTTTCCAAATTCCTGGGCTCGACTTTTTGCCAAATTAACAAAATGGTTTTTATCAATAATACTAACAGGTCTAACTTTTTCAACAGTTGCACCCAACTTTTCTAATAATTGGTATTTTTCTTCAGCTTGATCATCTGGAACAATAATCCATGCATTATATCCTTTTGCACGTGAAATCATTGCAATAGATATTCCTGTTGAACCTGATGTTCCTTCAAATATTGTACATCCTGTATTTGGTTTAATTAATCCTTTTTCTTCTGCAATTTTAATCATATTTAATGCTACCCGATCTTTTGGGCTGCCTCCTGGATTAAGAAACTTTGTCATATATACAATTATTTAATGAATGTGTATCAATTGAAGAATTCTTTTTAGACTGATTTTTATTTGAAAAAAATTTTAAAGTTGATGATAATATACCTCAGCTTTTCCCTTAACAAATACAATACAAATATTTATTATTTATTTGAATTAAAACAATAATAATAAAAGATCATGCATAATTACCAAGATTTCACAACCAGTAGCTTTACTCAGACTTTTAATCTTCATCAAAGGTGTATTACCAATTAAACCTTCTAAACCTTCCACTATTTCTTCTTCATTTTCTTTGCTAATATGCTGCCGCAGTATCCTTTTGTCAGTTTGATTCCTTTTTTTTATAAATCCCTTTTCGTTATTGTTATTATTACTATACCAATTTTTTATTGATTTTCTTGAAATTGTTACGACAATGCCTATAATTAATCCTATACAAATTAATGCATTTGATTTAATATTTTGAATTGGCATTTTTTTTTTTGAATTTGATATGCATTGCAGATCAAATTCATTTTGAGAATCAGCTTAAAATTAGTACGACCTGGATTAGTCATATTTTAAACAATATAGAAAATAGTTGAACCCAACATCTAATGCTTTCCTTGAAAGGATTGAAAGATTGTGATAAATAAAAGATGCTAATTTTGTTTATTAACAGATTGTACATCAAATCCTATAAGCTAACTGTAACGTTAACAAATTACAGGTTGTGACAGATAAGGTCATAACATGGATCAGTTTTGAAATCAGTAAAGCAAGAATTAAAGCAAATTATTTCATTTATGCAACTAATTTAACAGATTATGTATAAATTATAAGCTTTTGAATATAACAAATGACTAAAACCAATCAAGGCGCATTTTCAAATAGGCATAAAGATGTAGAAGTATAAAATGGGGCATGCTGCAACAGAACCCAACAAAGTGGTCATTTGTACTACAAAGGATTTCAGAGTTCAGAGTTGTTTAACATCACCATCGTACTACTAACATTCGCTATTATTAGTATTGCTGATATAATGGGTAGTGATTCCTGTACTGATTTTTTATTGTCAATGTTTTATTCTAGTACTCATGACTGATAAAACATTAATATTTATGAAAAATGTAAAGACACCAGTTATTTGTGAAAATGGTAACTATCATATGTAGCTATCATTATAGAATAGTTATGGCTGCTGCAAATATAGTTGGCACAGTAATTCCTATTCAGTAATTATTGTGGAATTATTATTAACATTAACATGTAATAGTAATAAAGTAATAGTTATTTCATGGGAAACTGTGAAAATAATAATAATGATATTTCATGTTTATCTCATGGAGACTAATGCCTGTGATGAAAAAAAGTTATTTTGCTATGAAAAAGTTTATTTTACATAAAAGTTTTTTTTTCTTATGATAAAAAATCACAATTTACCTTTTGCAATCTTTCTTTATCTAATAAAAATGTGTCAAATTCACACCAATAAAAAGCAAAAAGGACCCAAACAAGCATTTCAACCTATTTTCACTAATGCAAGCTTGCTCCTTTCCCAAAAAGTTCCAAGGCTTCAATTTCTATTTTACCAGTTGATTCTATTCCTCAAAGTATTTCAAATAACCATTTCATCACAACAAGCACCATCTGAAATTTATAAAAACTTGAACTGCAGTGTATATGTTAAGATTTCTTTGAAACTTTACATTATTTTTTTATTTTTTTTTATTAAACAAATGATTCCAAAAAATATTCCAAAGATTATACATATATGGAATATTTCTTCTCCAAACCATTTTCAATTATTTGTAATGTTTCATCTTTAGTACATATAATTATTTCAGATGATGGTATATCAATAATATTAAATTTGGTTTTTGGTGTTATGCAACTATGGCAAGGATGTTCACCATTGCTTGAACTATATGTGAGACAAAAACTTGATGCTTCAAGCCAATCTGCTATAATCATAGAAATTTTCATTGTACATAAGATTGTATTATCTAAAATTTTTAATATATGTCCCTAATTCAAATTGTTCAAATAATGGGGCTGTGATTATTTTCATTGAATTTTGAAAACTTTTAATAACCTATTTGTTGATGAATTTTTGTCTTTCAAACTAATAATTGGCAAATATCCTACTATGACTTTTGCATCAACTTTATTCCATCTTTCATAAGGAATATTACCTAAGGACAATAGTGTTCCATGTCGCAATCCAAAAAAGGAAACAAAATGGTCGTAAAGGTGGTTGCAACCAGTGGTTGCAATCATTTTTATATGACGCAAAGGTGGTAGCAACCATCATCAAAAGTTGCAGCCGGTATCCTTAAAGGACAAGTAGATTGGGTGTTTTGATGTTTTTCCAAGTATATCACACAAGCTCGAATCAGAATACAATATAATTGAGATAAGTTTAGATCTAGGAAATAAATATTCTTGTGCCTCTTTCAACCATAGTGCATTATATTGTTCTTTATAAACTGAAAAAAAACTAAAAAATTCAATGAAAAAAAAGTATTACTCCAGCCTATATTGCATTCTTGATATTTTCTATTTCTATATAAGTTGTACCAATCTGCAAAGCCTTTATTATATGGGATATGTTTGATAAAATGACATAGATGAGTATCAATACTTACTTATGTTTTCCACTGTGGCTCATATTTTAATATGAGAGGTATTTTTTGATGTCTTTAGATGACCTGCACTGCACCATAATAAAATCGATTACGTATATATATATGCAGAAATGATCGACATCTCACCTTTTAAAGGCGCGTGACCGCAAAAATTTGATTTGAAATTTTTTTCTCAAATTGGTGTTGTGTCAACGATTAAGTGGAAATTTCATAAATGTGACATCAGATGACAATTTTTTGGAAAAGATATTCTGTGTGACACGATTCTCACAAGAAAAAACTATTTTTTTCAATCTTTACAGATTATAAAATATATACAATTATTTTAAACATGGGCTTTAGACGTTTTGCTGCATTTGGACCAGTATTATTAGCAAATCCATATTTCCTTTATAATATTAGAGTTACCTTGAAATATACCATACCAAATATCACTTATAGTACCTCATTATCAACATTTTATCCAAAACGAGGTTTATTATATAATTTCAATAGAGATTTAACAACTACAACTACATCTAATACAATTGGTCTAGAAAACAATAACAATAACAACATCAACAACTTTAAAGTTGATCCCGATGATCCAATTGTAACAAGAATTAGTCAAGATCCAAAGTTAATGGCCTCCATTCAAGAATTCTCAGAAATTTTAAAAAGTAAGGGTATTGATCTTGGAAAACGTCAAATGCCTTCCATGTTACAAATGGCTAAACTGGCCACCGATGGTCAAGTAAAACAAAAACTTATCAATTTAAATAAAGAACTTAAAAGCGCGGGAATTGAACTTAACACAGAAACTGTTCAAAAATATATGACGTTTGTTCCTCAAGGAATGGAAAAACCGACATACAAAACACCACTTGACAATAGTGAAAATATTTATGAATCTCCAAAATCAGTTACTACAAAAATACAATCTTCATCAACTACATTATCACCAACACCATCGCCACCAATACCAATACATCCACCTCAACCTCCTACTTCTCAACCAAATGAACATTCAAAGGTTACTTCTCCTACACCTACATCTGCACCTGCACCTGCACCTACGAAATCCAGCATATCAGCAACAAAACAAAAAACTACAAAGAAACTTAAACAAGAGAGTGCTATTTCAACAAAAGAAAGCGCGCCTAAACAGAAATACCAAGCACCTAAACAACCCGAAAAGATTGCAAGTGAGACAACGGAAAAACTAAAAGAAGAACAAGAACCCGTTGGATTGCTTTCGAGGATTAAATCATTTTTTAAATTTAAAAAATAAAAATTTTTATTACTAAATATTTCAATTAAAAGAAGATAAAAAAAGTAAAATGTAATATAAATAAATATATATATATAAATATCTTTTGTGCATGTAATATTTATTTATTTTATATAAATATATATAATCGATGGAAAATAAATAATTTAGATTAAGATATTTTGAATTCGCTTGTCTTTGGCCAAGTAACAGTTGTATCAACTCCGCCATAAGTTGAATAATTATTTAAATGTTTTAATAAAATATCAACAGTTGAAACATCCAAGTCATATTTTTCAGATAATTTCTCTGGTGTCCATTGATTTGAATTTAAATTTCTCAATTCAAATAATTCTCTTAAATCATAAACTGTGATTCTATTTTTTAATTTTCCTCCAGTTTCTCTACTTTTATTCTCTTCTTCTATTATTCCTTTTCTTGATTTTAAAATCTTCAACATTTCATTTGACTTTTTTCATTCATACAAGATTTATAAGTAATTTATTTTAAAAAATAATGGTTCTAGTAGAGTATAATAAACTTTCTTTACCTTGTTGAATGGAATTTTGTTTTGTGGTATCTTTACTTCTCCAATTACATATAAATTTTTTAATAACTGTTGATTTTCATTATCATTTCCAATTGCTATCATTAAAATAAATAAATAAGAACATCAATGTGCCAACAACAAATATGTAAATATATTTTTTTTGAAACGATACCTTGATCTTTGGCTCTTACATCATTAACATTTAAATTATTCTGTTGTTGCTGTAATAGACGAGGGTTAATTGTATTTGGTTTCACTTTTGTTATTACTTCTGGTAATTTTCTTTGAATTTGTTTGGAACTTTTTGATCCCATTTGTATTTATATTTTAGCTTCTAAAAATTTTTTTCCACGTAATTAATCGCCAATTAAATATATATAGTATATTTCTTGGTGTTACAAATGTTTGAACACAAATACTACTAGTACCAAAACATAATCTATATGTAATGATGATAAAATAAATATAGGTTTTAAAGATGGTTAGTTTTCAAGTTCGCCCACAAGGTCCTGTCTAACGACTTCTTAGTGAAAAAAAGATGTTGAATGCAGCTGGGAACTGAGTTCTATACCGATCAAATTTGTTCTTATATATCTGGTAGAAATAGGTTGATCATTTGACTCAATCAGGTGACTTTTTGAAGAGTCATATAAAAAACATACAGTACCTGGAAGAAAGTATCCGAACGCAGTTTTTCGAAAATTCCGCAAAATATTACATAATAAAAAAATAAATAAAAAATGTCATTTTGTAGCTTAGGTTCTTATGGTTATGCATATGAAATTTAAAGTTTTTTTTATTATCTAGAACTTTTTTAATTTTAAAAAAGCAAAATCTGATTAAATTTGTAAAATTTTACAGTATTTTCGTGAAATAACCAAATTTCACATAATAAAAATTCATTAAATTATATCAAATGAAAGCTATGGTATTGAACATTAAACATGTAAAATTTCATGAATCCAAAACATATGGAAAATTATAATTAAAAAATCGAAAACATGATTAAAATTGCGATCATCAAATTTTTGTTATTAAAATTTTAAAAATGAAAAAAACCACTGAATTGACTGAACTTGAACGTGGAAAAGTTTTGGGTCTTCGATTAAGCAGAAATAGTATGTCAGTAATATCTAAGAAACTGAAAATTCCAAAGACCACTGTATATGATACTATTAAACGTCATATGAATTCTGAAAACGTAAAAAGTGCACCAAGAAGTGGAAGGCCCAAAGCTTTGAATGAAGATGATCAGAAAAAATTAAAAGATATTGTAATTAATAATAATCGTAATTCTGCTGAATTAATACAGAGAGAATTCACTAAAGAAAGTGGTAAAAAGGTTTCTACAAAAACAATTCGTAAAAATCTTCATGAGCTTAAAATTTACTCACGAATCGCTGCAGTAAAACCACTTTTGTCAGAGAAACAAAGAGTGAGACGACTAAAATGGTGTAATCAAAGAAAACATTGGACTACTCCAAACTGGAAAACTGTGATTTGGAGCGATGAATCACATTTTACAATATTTAAAAATGATGGTCCAGGTCGTGTTTGGCGAAAGGATGGTCATCGTTATGACATCGAGAACCTTGTTCCATCAGTGAAGCATGGTGGTGGTGGAATAATGGTTTGGGGTTGCTTCTCTGGTAAAGGGTTGGGTCCTTTAGTTAAGGTGGATGGAAAAATGAATCGTTGGGATTATATTGATATTTTGGAGAAAAATCTGTTGCCTTTGGTTGGAAATAAATTCAATAATAGAAATTACTCCTTTCAAGATGACAACGCGCCTGTGCATACTGCCAAAGCTGTTCAAGATTGGATTAAAGAAAATAGAATTAAAATTTTAGAAGATTGGCCCTCTCAATCACCTGATCTTAACCCCATAGAACATCTTTGGCATGAACTTGAAACAAGATTAAGAAAACAAACGATTCATCCAAAAAATGTTTCAGAATTGGAGGAGGCTCTGAAAGAGGAATGGTCGAAAATTCCATACGAAAGATTAGGAAAACTTATTGAAAGCATGCCAAAAAGAATTGAGGCATGCATTTCTAGCAATGGTTGGCCAACAAAATATTGATTGTTCATTTCAAAACTTATTTCAATTTTGCTGATCATTACAAATATAATTTTTTTAATTAAATTTCGTTTTTTTAAAATTAAAAAAGTTCTAGATAATAAAAAAAACTTTAAATTTCATATGCAGAACCGTAAGAACCTAAGCTACAAAATGACATTTTTTATTTATTTTTATTATGTAATATTTTGCGGAATTTTCGAAAAACTGCGTTCGGATACTTTCTTCCAGGTACTGTATGTTGTAGAAAATATTATATGAAAAAAAAAGTTGTTACACGAAATTTACTTAATTTCTTGAGTGTATAACAAAATTCGGAATCTTTCAAAATGCTAAGGCTCATCCAATTTTCAGTTTAAGAAAAAACCGGCCGATAAGTTTTGAAGCTTGAGTCATGAACAATAAAACTTATCGGTTAAATTTTTTTTTGTTTTGGTATTTTGAAGTCGACCAATTGTTATTATAAGCAATTAATGATTATGCGGATATCTCGATTTAGTATTAGCGGATAAATTTCCTGGCTAAATCGAGACGCACTGTATATATAATGTGTGTGACAAAAATAAATTTTTTTTTTGATAATCAATTTTTCTAAATTATGGGAAAAGAAAAATCTTCAAAAAAAGTTCAACAAAAACCTTTACATGTACAATTAACAGAAAATATATTGCCAAATAGAAAAGCAAGAACAAAATATGCGATCAGAAACCAAGAAAAAGAAAAGGATGATGTATGTGTAAAAACAATTATAATCAGAATTAATTTCAAATCAACTGTTTTTTAACAATGGCTCGCACTTAATTATAAACAGGAATTTGTTGATTCTAAGCTTTCACAAAAAATTCTCAAAATTGCAAAAGAACAGCAAGAAGAATTAGAAAAAGAACAAGGACAGAAGCAGGAGGAGGACAAAACAATTGAGAAACAAAAGTAATAATTGTTGATTGATTGTATTTATTTGAATTCAAATAAAATCAATATTTATTTCTTCTTAATCATACATTAGTCATGTAAATAGATTATTTTCATCTTTTGTTGATGACGATAGCGAAGATGATTATTCAGAAGAAGAAAAAGATGACGATGATGATATCGATAAAGATATTATAGAATTAGTATGAAGTTTTTTTATATTACTATTATTATTGCTGTTATCATTATTATCATTTTTTAATTAATTTATATTTGTATGTGCGTGATCAGAAAATAGATGAAAATGATCAAGAAATTTTTGATAAATTTACATCTAAAACGCCAAAAGAAAGTAAAACTTTGTCAGATATTATAATGGAAAAAATTGAATCACAGCAAAATTCGAAAAAGCAAATGTCTTTAGGTTATTAAAAAATTTTCCAAATAGCATTAAAAAAAATATAACGAATTCAAAATATATTTAAATGTTTTATCATTTCAGATAAGGAATCATCATCAACTGTGAATCCAAAAGTTGTTGAAGTTTACTCAAAGTAAGTATATTATTTACGTTTATATATTTATAAACCTATTAATTAGATAGTATGCCTCTTAGGCAGATGCGAATATGCATCGAAGGAAATAAATATAATAAATTTTTTATATTAATTTGTTCAGAGTTGGTACTTTGTTAAGTGGGTATAAATCTGGTAAGATTCCAAAAGCCTTCAAAATTATTCCATCACTACCAGATTGGGAGGATATATTATATCTCACAAAACCTGAAAATTGGACTCCACATGCAACATTGCAGGCAACTCGTATTTTTGTTTCTAATCTGAGTGATAAACAATCTCAAAGGTATTTATTTATTTTATGAACTTTTGCATAACATATATAGGCTTAAATATATAACCTATATATATATATATATATATATATATATATATTATTTGGTAATTAGATTTTTTGATATTGTACTTTTGGATAAAGTTCGTGATGATATAAAAGAAAACAAAAAACTTAATCCTCATTTATATATGGCATTAAAAAAAGCTTTATATAAGCCAGCTGCATTTTTCAAAGGAATTTTGTTTCCATTGTGTGAGGTAATTATAAATTTATCATTATGATTATTGCTATTATAATTAATATTACAAATGCATATAAACAACGCACGCACATATACTACATATACATTTATTATAGTCTGGCACATGCACATTAAAGGAAGCAGCAATTGTTGGTAGTGTAATATCTAAAGTTAGTATCCCGATGCTTCATTCTTCAGCTGCACTATTACGATTGGCAGAAATGGATTATACTGGTCCCAGCAGTTTATTTATTCGCATTTTGCTTGATAAAAAATATGCATTACCATACAAAGTTGTAGATGCTTTGGTATTTCATTTTGTTAGATTTAAAAACGATGAAAGGAAAATGCCTGTATTATGGCATCAATCTTTTTTAGTATTTGCACAAAGGTAATTTTAATTTTTTTGAGAGTTATTATTATTTTATTGTTGTTATATTATTAATTATTAATTGCTAATTATGTTATTTTTAAAAGATATAAACAAGATTTGACACCAGAGCAGAAAGAAGCACTGTTTGATGTACTTAAATCTAAATTGCATGAACAAATCACACCTGAAATTCGACGAGAAATTGCTAACTCTGTTGCTCGTGATGAAATCATCCAAGATGTAAAAATGGAAATAGTTTAGTTGTCATAAATAATTCCTAGTATTAGTTCCATCTTATAATTATGTATTACTTTTTTTATTTAATTTAAACGATTTACAATAAATGATAATTACAAAGTTGATCTACATTGGTTGCTCAAATATTTTTGATATTATTCCAAGATTTATAAATAAATTACATATTAACAAAAAAGAAGATATGAGTTCAGGACTTCCTTGGTACCTATCATGCACATACACTTACATGTGGTTTTTCTTAAAAAATTAAAACGCGTGTTTTTAAAGTCTAATAATTACTTTAATATATAAATTCATATAAAAAGGCTTGAAAAATATCGACCAGTAGTTTTAGATGATATAGTTGGAAATGAAGATATTGTTGAGAGGCTGAAGGTGATTGCAAATGATGGTAATATGCCACATATGCTTTTATCTGGAGCACCAGGTGTTGGTAAAACTACTAGTATTTTATGTCTTGCGCGTGCATTATTAGGAGATCATTATAATAATGATGCTGTGTTGGAACTAAATGCATCCGATGATAGGTAGAAAAATAGATTTGATTATTATTATACAAATTTTATTATTATTTTCTTATCCTTTATTGCATTTGTTATTATTTAGAGGTATTGATGTTGTTAGAAATACAATCAAAACATTTGCTCAAAGAAAAATTAATTTACCAGTTGGTAAACATAAAATTATTATATTGGATGAAGCTGACTGGTAATAATAATAATAATAATTATCATTATTAACCTTAATATAAATTTTTAAATAAATATTAATCACTTTATTCTTTTTTAGTATGACAATTGGTGCACAACAATCTCTTCGTCGTATTATAGAATTATTTTCAAAGACAACTAGATTTGCACTTGCATGTAACATATCAAACAAAATTATTGAACCAATTCAAAGCAGATGTACTATATTTAAATTTAAAAAATTAACAGATGATATGATCGAAAAAAGATTATTAGAAATTTGTAAACATCAAGATGTAAATATATTTACTATAATAATAATAATTATTAAATTTATCATAATTTACTATATTTTTCTGATTATCTTGCACTGTATTAAAATTTAGGTAAAATATGTTCCTAAAGGTATTGATGCAATCGTATTTACATCAGAAGGTGACATGCGACAAGCTATCAATAATTTACAGTCAATTTTCAATGGATTTGGAATAGTTACTGAAGAGAACGTCTATGTGAATTGTGATGTGCCACACCCACACTTATTAGGTGAAATTCTTGATGATTGTTTAAATGGAAATGTATCAGAGGCTATGGATAAAATGACAAACCTTTTACATAAGGGACATAGTGCTGAGGGCATTGCCACTACTCTGTTCAGGGCATTAAAGACAAAAAATGAAATAAACGAAGCAATGAGATTGGAAATTATATTTGTAATTATTTGTTGTATATTCTCCTCTCCTTACTTTTCTTCTCACAAATTTAATTCACTAATATAATATTATTGAATTAATTAATTAATGATTTATAGGAAGTTGGAACGGCACATAGGAAAATTTTAGAAGGTGTAGCAACAGAAATCCAACTTTTAGCATTGATTGCAAGAATCTCCAAGATAAACAAAAGATTGAAAAAAATTTAATCTGTCAGTTTCTGACAAAAATTATAATTCTGCTAATTGGTATCACTAACCTGTATATAATATAATAGATGAGAATGTAATATGAGGCAGCCAATAAAAAAAGTCATTTAAAAAATTAATTCATTTTTTCTTTATTTCTTGTATATATATTAAATAATAAAAGTATAGTAATAGCAATTACTAAATGTCATCTAACATTTAATGTTATTTTACTTGTTGCACAGTGGACATTGATAGGTAAAACTATTTAAAAATATTTCATATTATTTTGGAAATGATACATAATCTTTTAATTCCTTTTTTTTTTTTTGAGTAGTTTAAGGATTAAAAGGGATATGCATTAATTATTGATGATAATATTATATTAGCATGTTTCTAACGGTGCGACTCATAATCATATTTTCTTTATCTTCATGTGCAGGTAAATATTTTATTAATTTTTTAATAATAAATTTTTAATAGGTTATTAACAAATGGCAAAATTATTTACCGGCTAGGAGAGACTCCCATTGGATCTTTTCGATATTTAGAGTGCGTTGAAGTGTTGATTAGTATATATTGACTGGCGTTAATTGTTTGTGTATGTCGAATATTAATTGATACCATTATTTATGGAATGATTGATGCCAGATCTTGATGGAACTGATTTCTCTTTTTGAACGTTGGCAATAATAGTTTCTTCTCTCAATAATTTATCTGAATTAATGTTATGTAGTAGATTCAGGTTTATTGCTATTATTCTTTTTCTTAAGGCTAGCTTTAAGTAGATTTAATTTCCTAGTAAAATCTGTTTCAACAGATAAAACATCATCCAAAAACGTTGTATCTAGAATAGTAATTATATGAGGTATAATCTGTGTTTTTTTTTGTTTTATTATTGTCAACGTTGTTGTCATTAGGCTTTGATGAGCAAGAAGACGTTTTTTTCGAATTAGAAGAGTTTAAGCTATTATATTGTTACAGTCAAACGGATGCAAGTAAATTTCAAAATTAATAAACTCGTCATAATGAATTTTTAGCATAAAAGAAATTAGTTGAAATCGGTACATGATTTATATTTATTTTGGATGAAGAACCTGATAGCTCATCATCAATAATTACAAGAGAATATGTATTTGTATTTATCTATACCCCCCAACTTTATTACTTTCAACAAAACCTGGTCAGTTTGATGCATATATGACTGATTTTATTTGCAAGACAATTCTTGACATAAAAATTTTAATTAGGCATTGCATCTTATGGGTAGTAGAGATTTGACTTTTGGTGGCCAAAGGCCAATTTGGTAAAACCAGTATTGGATATCAAAAAAAAAAACAATAAACTATTTAGTTGGTTAATTAATTTTTATAATATTTATTAAACCAAAGACAAAATAATAATAAATAATTTAAGCAATTGGATAATCTTTTAATCTATATAGAAGAACTTTGCCTTTATCATTGCCGACAGCTAAATAACCACTAGCAGGTGAAAAATCAAAACATTGAACATAACTTAATGGAGTTGAAAAAGTTGGCCAATTCGGAAATGCATTAAGAGATGGTAAATGAAACTAATGCATATATAAAATAAATATATATTAAAGTTATATAAATAAATATAATCATAATCAAAATAAATATTACCATTTTTAATTGATCTTTCTTTGAATGACTAGAAATCCCTAATATTTGTGTATCATGATTAAATTTCATATCGTGGATACAAGTTGTCAAATTCATAAAAGATTTCAAAGGTTTTGGTTCTTTAATGGTTAAACATGATTTGTCATAAATGTTTACAACACCAGTATTTGATCTGTGTGATGTTTTAATAAAAAAAAATTTTTTTTTTTTTTGTTAATAATGATATGGATTGTATGTATATATATATATTATTTATATATATATTTAATTCCAACATAAAAAATAAAATTTTTTACCCAATAGAATAATAACAATCATTTTTTGATATGGATATTCTTGTAGGTTTAAAACCTCCATAATCCAAAAAACGATAAATACATTTTCTCATACCAACATCCCATTGATAAATTTCAGCATCACTGCTAAGAGAAAATAAATATTGACCATTACTAGACCAATCAATTGACTTTACTAAACCATTCACTTTCAAACTGGTAATCCATTGTTTTGTCTTATAACTTATCAATGCTATGTATCCATTCTTTCCGGCAAATGCAATATATTTTCCACATGGTGATATTGAAAAATTCTCAAGTGATTTATCTTTAAATCCATGAATATCTCTAGGTCTTTCAATCACATCACTTTCAATATTATAAATATAATAGTGTTTTTTTCTACCTGTTACTACAATATCTTCACCACTTGGATTAAAGGCTGCATTAAATATTGGTAAATCTTTAAACATTGTTGATTGAATTTTGGGATTTATTTTACCATCAATCTGTCAGGAAAAATAAATAAATAAGACAATTATTGTGAATGTTATTTATTTATTTATTATTATTATTATTATTATTATTGAGTTATGACAAAATGATAATAATGGTAGTAGTTAAATCCAACCTGAAACAATCTAATTGTCTTGTCTAAACCTGCCGTCATCAATACTTGTGCATTAGGATGAAAACTTGCTATTTCAATTACCCCCTTTAAAAAAAAAATTATTAATAAATAGTTAAAGAATTAATAAATAGTTAAAGAATTAATTAATTAATAAATAATAATAATAATAATAATAATAATAATAATAATAACTTTTGAATAATCTTGTTGATTTGCATTTTTCACTGTTACGATATCAAGTTTTTTATTTGATAATTTTTTTACACGATTATTATCATCACCAACATCATCAGCATCAGATATATTTGGATCTGACAGTTTTATTTTTTTATTTTTATCAGAGGAAATTTTTGAAGGAAGAGTTGCCCAATTAGGTGTTGGATTAAGTTTCTCAAACCTAAATTTATTATATATTTGTATTTTCGATGAAGTTTTAATTAAAAATTTATTTCAATAATAATATGAAACAATATGATCTTGAAAAAAAAGAAAAAAGAACATAAGCTATTTGAACATATGTTTTACTTCACTGATTTCTTAATCGCATTTCATATTGAGCACCCGATATCAAATCCTCTTCTTCAGTTTCACGTAATTTACGAATTTTACTTTGATTTTTCAAAGAAACAGTAATGTTTTCATCATCTGAATCTTGCCAAACGATTTTCTTTGATGACGAAGACGACAACGTTTCTTTTTTTGGGAGTTATTTAGCAATTAATTAATTAATTAATTTGACATCTAAAATTATTAAGAATCTATAACCAATTCATCATACCTTCATTAGCAATATCATTCTCCTCGCTGATATCATCATCATCATGATCGTCAAGTAATTTTTCATAATTTTTGGTGGGCGTTGGATCAATTGAAAATGATATTGGTTGTAAAGATGAGTCAGTTGAATTCTGTTATTTTTTAAAAATGTGTACGCGTATGTAAAGGTATAAACTTTATAAATTTAACACAAAATTCAAAATATAAAAGTATTCCGATAAATTACTTTCAATTCTTCCTCCTCCTCCTCCTCCTCCTCTTCCTCTTCCTCTTCACTTTCTTTCACTTTCTCCTCTTTATCTTTCACAACTTCTTCTTGTTCTGACTCATCAACTGAAGAATAATACTCATCTTTGTCTTTTTCTTTAATTGTTTCTTTTAATGCTTCATCGATTTCGTAATCGTCAAAAAACATTATTATTGATGATTATTTATCAAATTTTTTTTTAAAATTTTACTTTGATCTATTAATTGCGTAACCTAAAAATTTGATTATCTTTATTTGGTATAGATAGCCAAATATAGCTAGAATATTTGCCAGAAAAAAAAAGATGTCAAAATTTGTCAAAGATCACCAAATAAATGAATGATTGCATCAACAACTGAACTTTTTACGAGAAGGATTAACAAATTAGAACAGCAAAAGGTGAATTAGATGTACTGTATTGTTTACGTCTCTTACTTTGCTTTATCCAATTTTAACTTTGCTGTCAATTTATCCACATATCTGCTTCCTTTTCCACATCATTAGGAAACTAAAACTTTCGTAAACTTACGCCAGTTTCCATTGTTTATCACAAATATAATTTGGTTAATCTTTATATGTGGATATTCGTCAGGAGTTTACAAGTGACTTTAAAGTGTATCTAGTCCCCCAATTTTTGTAAAAATGATATATTAGGTAAGGCTTCCTTCACTCACGTTTACTTACAAAGTTAAAAAATACAATGCTGATCGATTGTCACAAGAAAAACTTTGTTCAATAAACGTGTAAAATTAAATATTGATTTATCAATGATAAAATAAACACTACCGTTTCAGTAGGAGTTAAAAAAGGTGTACCAAAATGATAAAATTATTATAGACGATGGATGATTTAGTTTTGGATTTTTGGATATGTTATTAAATTTAATTCAATTCAATTATTCAGGCCAATAAATGATTAGATGACTGACTGTGCTATTCTGAAAGGAATTAGAAAAGCGATACTTAGAATATGCTTAAAATATACTTTTTTCAATAGTGGAAAATTTCAAATATACTTTGTATAGCATTTCAACTACCTTTCAAGTGTATTTCAATGAATAAGTATGTTTTTAGTATAGTATTACACGCTCAAAACATACTTAAGGCATCCACCAAATATTTTAAGGTACATTTTGAGCACATTTTAAGTACCTAAGCTTTTGTAGGGTAGCGTTTTGAACCTAAGGTAAGATTCTTGAAGATTGTAGTATATTTATGCTAAACAGCTCCAAGGAAACCGGCAACAATGAATAAAAGACAACATTTTACCCTTCCGTGAAAGTGTTAAATTGATCTGATGCTATTATCTGCTTTTTGGAAAAGAAAAGAAATTTGTGACTTGAAAATACGTACGAAAACTAAATCGCAGTCCAGTAGATTTTATGAATCTCAATAATGATAATAAAAAAGCAACAAACCCATATTATTGATGTAACACATAATCAAAACTATATACAATCCGAGAAATAAACAAATATATAAAGATCAAAAAGGAGATAACATCAAAGAATTCTATTAATTGGTATGTTTTGATGCTTTGGTTTAGAAATCTCTGCTCAGAAATTGTTTTAATTTATATCATATAAAAGTCGTATTTTTTATTTAAATCGTTGTTTATGTATTTATATTTGATATCTGGTAAGATTGGCCTATGCCTGATATAATTTATTTAGAAAAAGGGACTATAAAAAAGATTTTATTTGTGTTTATACTTAGCATGGATTATGATAATATAATATTAAAAAAATTCATTCGCTACAACAAGCTGGATTAGATAGCTGTGAGTGAACATTTTTGGGGGAAGTCTATAACTTCAGTTACAGAATTATTCAAAAACAGAAGATGCTACACGCATTTTTTTTAAAAAAACTCGATCATAGAATGATAAAAAATCACGGATATGATAATGTTTTTGATTCTCATGGTAAAAATATATTGCATTACATTTTAATTTCTATTATTAAAAATTCAAAATTATCATCACATATTACTTGTAGAAGAATTTAATATTCAATGATGAAAGATCCGAATCAGACTTTCAATATATAGGCAAAGTTTCTTTCAAATTATTTACTTAAAACTCAAACATGCTCACTAAAACCATTTCAATAAATAGTAGAAGAATAAAAATCTTCTTCCTCTACTTTATATTAATGATAACACCAAAATTTGTATATTTATTTTTTTCTAGAAAACTTCCGATATGTGTGATAAAAATATTTTATGTATTAATAAATATACATATGCGCTGATTTTGTTTGAACCCCAAAATCCAGTACGGTATGATCATAACGTTATGAATACTTTATACTAGCAAAAACCCATTGGTTTTGAGGTGGGGCCATTGGTCTGACGGGTTGTTGAATAGTAAAATAGTTTTTTTTAGCGGAGCAAATATTTTTTTTAGGGTTAATTATCATTCTACTGACATTAAAAATACTCGTGTTTAACATCAAGACATAAGGTTTGAAAAAAGGCCCAAAAAACCAAATCGGCTGATATGATATAAGTTGTATTTATTTAATTTTTTTAAGCAATCCCACTGTATAATTTTTAATTAAGAGTGCTTAAGGAATTGACTAGATCTGTGTGCTTCTTTTGGCATTTCAACAAGTTTAAAAATACCATCTAAAGTTATAGAAAATCGGAATGGCCAAGGCAAATATAATTTCAAAAAACTATTATCATCCATTGTATCAGCCAGCACACAAAAATCTTTCATTAACTATTTCATGTGCAGCTTTTAATCATTCTTTCAATGTACGGTGCTCTTTAACATTTACAATATTACTAATAGACCAAACATTACTAGCGTGTACTTCACAAATTTGAATCATGCAAAAGTCTATCTTTTCTTATAAATGTCATTGAGCAAATAAGGTATGTAACGATACAAGGGACAGGTATGAAATCAACAAAAGGTTATCCTGGTTTATAAAGAGAGTGCAATCGAGTTATTTTTGGTAGTGATCTGATAGTTTTTGTTGCAGTATTTAGGGAAATCAATAGACAATCAGGTGCTGGAATTCCTTTTTTGAGGTCTCCAATGGAAGCAATGTTGCTGCGAGCATACGCTTGAGTGTTATAAAATTCAGAATCATAAGAAAAAAAAACAAGGAAGAAAAATTAATGAATAATGCTAGGGATAATACAATGACCAAAAAAAAGGGAGAATGTCTTTTTACCTTTATAAAGTTGTGAAGCACGTCTTAATAATTGTACAGCTTCATCTGAGTAGCTAAACTCTCAAACCAACTCATGTTGTATTTGATCAGTAACTCCATCTAGTCCTTGCCAGATGTGGGATCGCTTCCAACTTTGTAATATTGTTGTTATGATAGCTTTCGCTTTTCCTCCTCGCGTAGGAATTTACACATCTCTTTTTCCGTTGTTGGAAGCATTTATAAGGTTAGCTGTGGTATCGAACAGTTATACCTATTAGAAAAGCATTATAAGTAAATTGCATCAGCAAGACAAAATAAATATTTTGATTGTTTGCAAAAAAAATTTGGCTGAGCTAATTATTTACTTACCTTGCTCCTTTCCATTCTTTTTTATCACAACAATTACAAGCAATACCAACATGAGCTTTACATTGTATATGTTTTGAAACATTCCTCTACGTATCCAAGTATAAGATGCAATGTGTAATGCTTTTGATACTATAATCATTTAAAGTACATCCATATTCTAATTGCTCATCAGAAAAATAAGGTGTTTGTTGATCAGGAGGAATACCTTCTTTACCATATATCATGTTTTTTAATGGTATCACTCATTTCTACTGATAGATCAATGGTTTTCCCAGTTTGTGATTTCACAAAATATGATGATCCTTTTTAATGTCAAAATTTCAAAGATACCACCAACATTATTCCATTAAAAACAAGGGCCTGTTCCATTATCAGCTTGTTCCTTTTTCTTTAAAGACAAGAATAATTTTGACTTCTTTTGAATCTTAGATAAAACCTTTCAAACTGCTATAATTGCCTCTCGATTCTTTTCCATCAAATGAAAAGAACCTGTCTTTAAACAGGAACACATTTGGAACTCCTAATCATTTTTTTAATATCCAAAACAGTGTTTTTGTTAGTCACATAAAGTTCTATAATTTTACCAGTTTGCATTTCCATATAAATTTTAAATGGAATTCTTCCTGTTGTTGTAATAATAAAAAATTATTCACTGACATTGCATTCCATAAGTATTTTTACAAATAAACACCCATTTTTAATCCTTGCCTTTTAAGAATATCAGTATATTGTATGTTCTACTCATATTATATATATATATATATATATATATATATATAAGTTTATAGTCGTCATATTTTTTATTTTCTTTTCCAAAGTATTCTTTAACGGACTTCAGCAATAGTTCTATAGTAATAGCAGCGTCCAATGTCACATTTGCTTTGTATATAGTACCTCCAGGAGGAACTTCAACGCGAATGGAAAAACCGGAGGGAGGAATTAAATGCATTCTTTCTTTTGTAAGTTTATTTTTACAACATTTAATTGTTGTTTTTCCATTTTTGTAAAATCATTTGATAAATGATAATCCCATTTTATGTTAATAAACAAGTTTACTAGCTATTACCAATGTAGTAAGATAAAATCAATTGTATATATATATTATCCCGATATATATTAATATGTACTGTATCCCATCAAATAAAATGCAAGTCGGATAACACTTCCGTATAATAATAACAAAAAAAAAAAAAAGAGACCAAAGCAAGCAAACATACAAGCAAAACGTTAGGTAAAATGAATCATACAATGTAAATGTAGTTGGAAAGGCCATCTGTTCGTGCAATTGCTTCTACTGCCAACATCAAAGGTGCTCAATACTGTAATTAATTTTGACTGAAGGTGATTCAGCTAAAAGATTTGTTATGGCGAGATTCGAAGTTACTGATTTAATAGTATATCTTCTTTGTGGCAATTGAAGGTATTAATCGCCGAGCAAATGGGAGGTTGAATTCAGCGGAGCAAGAGGGATGGCTAATCTTTTGTATTAATAATTGAGATTATTATTTAATTGGTTTTTGTTTGTTTTTTGATATAAATTTTAATTAGCAATAAATATCCTATAAATAGAACAGAGACACGTTGGGTGGTCAAATATACAAAATAAAAATTTTGGATTGTAACATGTATGTATCCCTCATACAAATTTCCAAATTTATAAAAAGCATATTGTAATAATCATCATTATTTAATCCACTTTTTTTTCTTCTTTTTCTTCTTTTAAATATTTTCCAAAGTTTTTCGCTCGTTTTTTCTCTTTGTTTATAAATTTTTTTTTTTGTAAATTTATTAATTTATCGAATTACTCACTCTATCAACTTATATTGTAAATTATAAATAAGAATGGATTTAAATATGCTTGGAGGAAAATCTCACGATTCTGATGAAAACAGAGAGGTAGATATAATGTTTTTTTCTGGTTAACAAGGTCGTTTCAACGCATTAATAAATATGTGTTAAAATAAACAGGGTAAAAAAAAAATTGATGACGTAAATGGTGATTATGGCAGTAAAACAGGTGGTAGTAATGGCAAAGGTCACGGTCGTAGAAGAGACAGTAGTATCAATGGAGAAGGCAGTAAAATAAATAGTATTTATAGTTGTGATGTTGTCGATAGTAATGATGATGATGATGATGACAATGATAATAATGTTAATCCTGGCGTTCCTTCTTCAACTTTCCATAAAAAGCCAAGATCATTCAGCATCAAAAGTTTTAATAAAAAAGACAAAGATAAGCAGTATCCTAGATCGAAAACAGAACATAGTAATAGCGGCGGGAGAAATTTAATCGCATCGATGGTACCAAATAAATTAAATCCAACAAGGCAAAAATTATTGAAGGCAATCAAATTAAAGAATCACAAAGAATCTTTAGAACATTGTACAAAATTAATTCAAAATAAACCCAACTCATGTACATACAGATGTGAACGGGCAGAGATTTTTCTAAATCTTGGTGAGAAATCACAAGCACTTGAAGATTTGGACCATGTTCTTAAACTCAAACCAGATAAATCACATGCTCTATTTCTACGTGGAATATTATTGTACAGAGATTTTGATAAGAAAAACCAAGCAATCGATGAATTACGTAAAGCATTGAAAATAGAACCAAATAATACATTGGCATTTGAATCACATAAAATTTGTGCCGAGTATTTTACACAAGAGAAAAATAACTCCGAAATGATTTACCATGTGAATGCAGGACTGCTAATTAAATCACAAGATCCTTGGTTATTAAATAAACAAGCTTTGATACATTATCAAAGAAATGAGTTCTCGTTAGCAATTGGTAGTTTAAATATAGTTTTGTTGGCAGAACCCGACAATATTGACGCTTTACATCTTAGAGGGGATACTTATAAAAAATTATCAAATTATCAAAAATCATTAAAAGATATCACTAAAGCTTTGGATCTGTCTCCAACAAATCCTTTGCTTATACTAAAAAGAGCAAAATTATTTAAATTATTAGAAAAATATGAGGAATCATTGAATGATTTAGAACAATTAATTGGACTATCGCTAGATCCTAAATCTGCCATTACTGCATCTCTATTCAGTAATCGAGGTCAAGCATATCAAGGTTTATCTAGATATAAAGAGGCACTTAATGATTACACTAAAGCATTAAATTTGAAACCTAAAGCATCTACTTATAGAAGACGTGCACAAATTTATCAAATTTTACGGCAATACCAAGATGCAGTAGGAGATGCTAAATTAGCATTAAAGATTGGTAAGGGGAATGATGCTAAAGCTGCCACATTACTTAATCAACTCTATGCACAATTGAATCGGTATGATGATGCATTAAATTTGTTGGATGAATCATTAAAACTATTTCCAAATGATGCAAAAAGACTATCTGAAAGAGGAACTGTCTATAAAGCTCTGAAAAGATATGATGAGGCATTGAGTGATTTGAATAAAGCATTATCAATCGATGCAAAAAACGTTCTTGCATATCTTTCCAGAGCAAAAGTCTATAGGGAACGAAAGGACTATGTTAATTCATTGTCAGATATGAATTCTGCTATTGGAATAGAACCACAAAATGCTAAACTTTTAAGAAATCGTGGAAAAATATATACATTAAGTGGAAAATATAATCTAGCTGTGCTAGATTTAGAAAAATCAATCTCAATCGAACCAAATAATCCTTCAGGCTATCGATATCGAGGCAAAACTTTTTCATATACAAAAAAATATAATGAAGCAATAAAGGATTTTGATAAAGTGTTAAAATTGAAGCCGAATGATCCAATTGCCTTACATGATAGAAGTGAATCATTATATAAACTGAATAAATTCAATGAAGCTTTAAATGACATCAATAAATCCTTGGAATTAGAAGAGAATAATACTAATTCATACGAATTGAGAGCTTTAATATATGAAGAACTTGGTGACCATAAGGGTGCTGTATCAGATTTAAGTAAATTGTTGGAAAAAACCCCTAAAAATAAAGAAATATTGCTTCATAGAGCAAAAATTTACGAGTCACAAGATCAGTATTACGATGCATTGAATGATTGGTGCCAATTGGTGAAATCAGAACCCAAAAACTTGAAATATTTGGAGAATCGAGCTAGATTGTTATTGGAATTGTGTAGATATGAAGATGCAATTAAAGATTATGATGAATTGCTGAAACTTTCACCAAAAAATACAATATTTATGTCTGCAAAATTCGAAGTTTATCAATATTTTAATAAGACAGATGAGGCAATTGAAGAATTAACAAAGTTAATTGCGGAAAAAGAAAAACAAATTGATAAGATGAATCTAGGTGATAAGAATAAAATGGCGGGCCCAATTGAAGTAATAAATCTAACCGGACAAGTTGTTTTAAATGACATAATACCATTATATGTTGCAAGAGGGACTCTTTATCATTCCAAAGGAAACCAAAAAGAGGCAGCATTGAAAGATTTCAACAATGCATTAGGAATCAATTCCAATACAATGGAACCAATTAATTATACCAAAGAACAGCTTAGGGCATTGTGTTATCGTGGATGTATCAATCGGTCGTTGGTAGATTTTCATAAAGTGTTGGAAAATGAACCTAATAATATTTTAGCATTATGTGAACGAAGTGCTATTTATAGAGATCTAGATTATCATACTATAGCTTGGCAAAATATAAAGAAAGTTTTAGATGAACCTATGTTTGATGACAATAATGCTCATTCTATTTTAGTAAATTAATATTCATTTTCATAAATTTTTTATTTATAATATAATTTATCAAACATTTTAATAAAAACAATCACTTTATAATGATTATCATAATGACGGTCATATAAATATCAAAATATCATAGCACTGTCTTTTGATATAGTTTTTTGAGATGCAATCACATTGATTTGGCATTCCCAGGAACCATAAAATTTAAAATCAAATAGTTATTTTTGTTTTGTTCACCAGCATTATCACAAGTAATCTTTAAATGCTTCTCATCTTTATTCGATTTCTTTATTCCATCAATGACCATACCAAGTGTATTGTTAAGATCTTTCTTACCAATTCATCTTTACCAAGAACGTTCAATACTGCTTTATCTTGAATACCAAATAGATGAACCTTCTTTCAAGGACTAAGATAATTAGAATGTGGTACATGGACATTTTGGGCATCATGAATTTGTCAAAAGAATTTAAACTAAAAACTTTAAATGGTGAACTTCCTTGAGTTAAAAAATCCATCTGGTGAACAACAAAAACTTCCATCATAATCATTGATAAAATAATTAAGATTGATCCACTGTTTTAGTCTTAAGATGCGACTTTCGCAATATGATAGTGGGAATTTAGAACTCTATAAAAAAAATAGTAATACCCTGCTGGTTGTATTGCTTCAAACCTTATTGCCTACCAAGTTAATATTCGAGCATCAAATGTTTTTTGGGATCCACCAATTGTTGTGGGCACTCAAAACATTACCAGAGGTGTATTGTAGTGGTCCCTCCTTCAATTGTTGCCAATAATTTCATTATTCAACAAATAGTTTTAAAAACACAGAAAGTGTAATTTGCAACACTTGTCAGTAATGAATGTATGGTACAGATCTAATGGCTTTAATAATGTAAGTATAGAGAATTTCTAATATGTTATATTTATATGGTAAAGGAATGTAAAAGCATAAAATAAGAGTCATAATAATAATGATTATGATTATAATAATTACCTTTTGGAATATCAAGTATATATTGAGATTCTACACATCTATGAGCATGTCCATCATCCTCAAACTCAAGTAAATAACAGCTCTTTTTTGATAGTGTAATCCTACTAGGTGGAAGGACAACAATTGATTTGTAAAAGCATGTTGTTTCTGGGTATACATTGTATGACAGGATGATCTTTTGTAAATTCATTAGCTTTAATTCTCCTTTATTTCCAATTGGGAAGAACATGTTATTTTTGGTACATTAAAATATCTAAAATATATATATATATATGAAATGAAATAAAAACAATTTATTACCAATTTGATTCCTCAAATTAGACCGCATCTTCTATCTCATAATTTTAATAATGGATGAAGAAAATGAATGTGATATTGATAATCATAAAAATAAGAAAAGTTAAAGAAGATACTTACAGCTTAACCTCAGGTTTGTATCCAATTACAGTTGCCAAGATCCAGTTTTGTTCTAATGAGAAGGCCACTGGCTTGTATGACTGTAACCTAAATAGTAATTATTGTTATTATCGCCATTAAAATAGCAAATTTTTTATGTAATCTCCTGATTAAATAAAACTCCTCATTAAGTTTTAGAATTATATATTTAATAATGATAATAAAGATATAAAAATTAAAAATAGAAATAAAAAAATAACCAAATTAATGTTTACTCTTCTTTGCCAACTGTCTGGTCTATCGTGTCAGCACATAAGGATTTATGAGCTTCTTTAATTTTTGGTGCAATTACTCCTAAAATAATTTATAAAATACGAAATGGGTTGATCACTTGACTCAATCAGGTGACTTTTTGATATTTGAAGGGACGAGATGATAAAACTCAACCGATCAAAAATAGAAAACTTGGAACACAATAGCGAAGAAAAGGATATAGTGACAAATCGAAAGATATTTGGGCATAAAGAAAAGGAAGATTTAAATTCTATGTATGAATGGATTCTTATTCAAAACCTGCCTGGAGTTGATTAAAATAATAAACAATACCATACTGTATCTATTTTTGAAATAAATATAATAATTAATATTAATTGTTTGATGTGACCTTTTCTTTAATATTATCAATAAAGGATCTCAAATTAGTTGGAATTTGGTATTTTTATTGAATGTTTAGACCCGTTAATCCTACATCCAAGATTTAGTAAAGATAAGAATCTATCTTTATTTTTATATATACAATAATGTGAACCTTAAAATCATTTTATCTATAATTGTATTACATGTTAAGAGACTGGCCTTGGTATGCCGACTCTGAATGTGATGAAATTTTGACTTGGTCTTATATTTTACTTTATCTAGTAAATAAAAATTTTCTAGAAAAATAATAATCTTGATGAAATTAATTTGCAGACAAAATTCATACAACTTTACATAATCTATGATAATCTTGTCCTATTATTTTTTAAAACTTTAACATGGATTGATGCATGTAATTAACGAAATCACTTGCGGCACATCTTTTTAATTACTTAATATATGAGAAACAATAGAAAAGTACCAATTCCTTTTATTATTATTGCCAAAATAATATCAAAGTTTTAATCTTGTCAAATATACATATAAAAGTCACTTTAAATATTAGAAGTCACCAGAAATTCAAAAACACCAGAAAAAATATCAATTTTATTGTTAAATGAAAATACTAAAAAAGATTCTACAATAAAAAAAAATTCCAAAATTCATTATCTATAGTTTAAGAAATAAATTCAGGGACCAGTTATAAAATCTAAGAAAAATTTAATTTAATATTAATGTTAACAATAAAATCAAATATTATTATTATTATTACTACTACTAACTTCTGTAACAATTCCAGCAGCAATGGTTTCTCCACCTTTTCTTATCATTATTCTTCCAAGTTCTTTATTATCTTTAAATGTCTCTATAGGTATCGGTCTGTTAGGAAGTTGTATTTCAACAATAGCAGCTGTTGATTTTGGAATATGTCTTTTTATTTTAGAGAATTGGGAATAATTCTGATTATTATTATTATTATACTATTAGTACTATTATTATATTAATTTATTTACCTTGGATTTTTTTTAATTTGCTCTCCAGTTGTTTTATCAATAATTGATTTAAGTCTTGTTATAATAGCTGGTTCATTTAAACTTTGTCGATGAAGAATTACCTTATTATATTATGAAACAAAAATAATATATAAAAAATAATGAACAAATGAAACATCCAAGTAAAATATTAAATGGTAACTTACATTATAACCTCTAGTAATAGGGATTTTTACTTCAAATACAACAATTCTTACCAAAAGCTGTGATGATAAAGGAACAGGATTTGATATTGGGCACAGTATCGAACCTACTCTATTTATAATTAAACAAACAAAAAAATACAAACTTTAATTTCAACGCTATTATCTAACATATATATATATATATATATACATACATACATTACATACATTAATCAAAAAGTATATTATATAATTAACATACATACTTAAGTTGAATCATGTCTATTCCTGTCAAAGAAACTAAAACAGAATCACCGGCAACTGCCCATTTGAATGATTCATTCAAAACTTGTATTGCTTTTTTTTTTTTAAAAAATATATAATTGATTATAAATATATTATTAAATTAATTAACATATTTTTCTATTTATTACCTTTTACTGTTGCATGTCCTTTGCCAGGAATAATAATTAATTCGTCGCCAATTTGTAAACTACCAGTTTCTATTCTTCCTGCCACTGTAATACCACTTAAACTTCCAGAACCACCTTTGAAAAAATCTGTTATAGAAAGACGGAATGGTTTTTCTATAAGTCTTACTGGTGGTTCGAACTTGTCTGTAATTAAAGAAAAAAATCAAAAGATTTTAGCAAGAAAAATATTCCTTGAAAAAAAAAAACTTAATAATAATGGTGGTTTAAAAAATTTTTTTTTACAAACCAATTTGTTCGATCAAGGTAGGTCCACTATACCAATCTAATAATTTATCTGTTTTTTTTAATAAGTTATCTCCTGTTAATCCACTACAAGGAATATAGAAAACACCCTTTTTCTTAAATCCAACTTGTGATAATAAGAATTGACTTAATTTCGAAACAATTATATCAAATCTATCTTTTGACCATTCTACCTGTACAATGATTAGAATAATTGCAGTAATTTAATTAATGGGTTGATTGATCAATTGATTTTTTGATTTATAAATCAATTAATAGAAAATTAAACACATATAATTAATTACATTATCTAATTTATTAATTGCTACAACTAATTGTTGTACGCCTAAACTTCTAGCAAGCAATGCATGTTCCTTTGTTTGTCCATTGGCATCAAATCCTGCTTCAAATTCACCTACTGTAGCATCTATTACAAGTATTGCTGCATCTGCCTGATAATAATTATTATTATTACAAATTAAATTAAATATACTGGAAAAAATTAAGCGTTTGGGAATAATATAATACCTGTGCTGCTCCGGAAATCATATTAGGAATGAAATCACGATGTCCAGGTGCATCTAATAAAGTAAATCGTTTATTTTTAGTTTCAAACTTTGTCATTGCAATATCAATGGTGATACCCCTAAAAATAACATAATAAAATTTATTAAATATTTATGCACAGAGAGATATGTAAAAAGAGATATATTAAGAAAGAAAGATATATCTAACCTATTTCTTTCTTCTTCAGTCTCATCAAGAACCCACGCATAGGCAAAAGATGATTTTCCTATCTTTGATGATTCTCTTTCATATTTTTTCATTGTTTTATCATTTACTTCACCAAGAAGATAAAGTAAATGACCCATCAAAGTACTTTTTCCTGCGTCAACATGACCTAAAGAAGTACATAAAATGTATATATATAAATAAACATTAACGTAAATATGGGCATTTAATAAAACGAAATGTTTGTTAAGGAACTTACCAATAATAACTAAATTTAAAGATTCTTTTTCAGCATTACGTTTATTGTATTCTTCAATAATGTCTATACGTTTATTACCCTTTTGTGTTGGTGTTTTTGTAGATGTTTTAGGTGTGATTTGCGTAGTTGTAGTTTGTTCAATTTTAATTTTCGTGATATCAACTAAATTTGAATTTTGTTCTGATTTCGATGATGATTTATTGTTGAGGTTAACTGAATCCATATCAGCAATTAAATCTTCAAAAACTTCTTCATTCATAATTTCTCAATATCGCAGTTTTTCCGTCGTCATCATTTAGCATTATTAATATTAATGAGTAGGAAATTTGAGTGCGGGCGCCTGCGTTACATAAAAAATGCGCACATTTTGTTGATCATCACCATTTTTTTAATATTTTACAATGACTATTCAATGTATCTGTTTCTCAATTTACTTTTTATCAGATTTGTGAAAATATTCTTTCAACATGTGCATTGGAAAGAGTGTTAATTATCAGTAAAAATAGAATTATATGGTTGACTCAGTCTAAAAACCTCCTAAGTTTTGTGCAAATTTAAAAGTATAGGTAAAGAAAAATTAGCCAACATTAGCATTAATTTAATGTTAAATATGATTACATAGTGGCAGGAGGTAGCAAATGTAAATTACAATCTTGATGGTTATTAATTAATATTTTCTTATAAAAAGAGCTGGAGCCTTTTTGATTTCTGAATGTAATATCTAATCATATAAATGAATAATTACCTCAACTAAATACAACAATAATTCTTTTAATTAAATAATGTTCATATAATAATATTTACACTTATATATATTTACTACATATTACCATTTTAATTCCTCACATATAAACTATTAATTACTTGGCCATCAATTGCTGGTACAATAAAGCTGCCCTTGTTCTCCAAAATAAATTATTTTAATTTAAATAAATTTTTTTTTCATTTATATTGTGCAACAAACAAATTATTCTTAAAAAAAATGATTGAAATAAATAGTTTGCCACATGAACTTCTGACTGAAATATTCAAATATATTGAAGATGATTACCAAGAATTGTATTCTTGTATTCTTGTCAACAAACAATGGCACAATATAAATATTCCAACTTTATGGAAGAATCCATTGGTTTGTGATGACAGCATCAAAATATTAATTAATTGTATATTAGAAGAAGACAAGGATTTCTTAACTAGAAATTGCATTGAATTAACATTTGAACTATTGGAGAAACCACTATTATACAATTATGCCAGATTTTGTACTATATTTTCCAAACATTGTATTTTTCAATGCCTGATAAAAAGTAAAGATTTAGATTTATATCAAATTTTACAAAATAAATTAGGAAACTTTATTTTAGATCACTCAGCAGGTATTAGAAAGTTTGATTTTTTTTATATAGGTCATAATTTATTAATTAATCATCATAGATTTGATAATTGTTTTCAGAATCTTTATGAAATAGATTGTAAGAGTTTTGATAGTGGTGAATTTTTTTACAAATTAGCAAATATTTGTAAAAATATTCAATCATTAACAGTATGTTGTGATAGTTATAACAAAAATATATATAATTTAGCACAGCTAATTAAAGCACAAAAGCAAATTAAATATTTAACTATTACATCAACAATGTTACCAGATGAATTAAAAAAAGCAATATTAACACATTCACAATCAATAATTTTTTATAGATCTCATGGCAATGAGGATAATTTTAATAGTTTCTTATTGCCAACTTTTAAAAATTTAAAGACTTTAGAATTAATAATTCATGCCAATAGCAAAATGATAAATTTGAAAAATATTTCACTGCCAAATATTGAATCTGTGGAATTATATATTTCTTATCAACCATTTACATCAGACTTGACTGATTTTATTAATATCAATGGAAAAAATCTTAAAAATCTAAATGTTTGGGGTGAGAATGATGAATTCTTGAGAAAGATATTTCAATCAATTGCACAATATTGTAAAAATTTAGAAGATTTATCTATATTATATGAGGATGAATTAGACCAGGAATTAATGGAAGTGCTTAATAATTGTACTAAATTAAAAAGTATTGTATTTAATAATTATTTTAGTGCTGAAATAGATTGTGATAAAATATTGACAGTATTAAATGAAACATTACCAGAAAACTTAAAGTCAATAACTTTTACTTGTAATGTTTATAATGTCAGTGACCATTCTTTGGACATTCTAATGAATAATTGGAAAGGACCCAAACCTTTAGTAGTAGGAGTTGACAAGTATAAGTATGAAAATATGCTAGAAAGTGATGAAAGAAAAATATTAGAAAAATATCAAGATTTAGGGTTTTTAACAATAATAGAAAATAAATGTTATGGTTTGTTTGATTGATTCTTGATGAATTAGAAAAAATCAGGAAAATATTGAGAAAGCAAATAAAAACCTTTTAAATTTTTCAACAATTATAGCAACTATTCATCTAAATCCTGTTTATACAAGTAGATTATTGAATTTTACAAATCTTCCTCAATTATTAGTAACAACTATTTGATTTATTGTTTTTTTATTAATGATATTTTTATATTTTGTCTATTTAAATTAGATTCCTTGTGGTTGAAGTGACTTATCACCATGCCTCTTACTGTTATTATTATTATTATTATTATAAATATATTCAAGCATTTATACTTTGTTTTTATTTTATTTTTGCATTTATAAATATATAATAAAGATTTTTATAAAGGAATATTTAAAAATATTTGAAACATATTCTAATTTTGAATTTTCTTACATCCATAATAAATGGAATTAATGGATGGAGTATATTGAGAAAGTAAAATAAATTTGAACTTTCTTACATCTATAATTAATGGATATACATATATAATAAATTTGAATATCTTTATGTTCATAATAAATGGAATTAATAGATGAATATATATATGAATTTTCTTATGTCTATAATTATTGGATGAATTTAATCTTTCAAAATTTCATAAATGAGAGCTTCAATAGGCCTTTTTCATTCACTTTCTTCTAAGATAGATGAACTTGAATTATCTATCTTTTTTAAATGCTCAAATAAAATAATTATTAGCAATTAAGTAATGAAAATAATTCAGGAAAGTAGCCAAAAGTTATGTTCTTTCAGTTTCCATTTCAGTTTCTCCTTAGTTTCACAAGAATTTCAAATAAGCATGGTAAATCTTTTGGTTTGGGCGTTGTATTTGCCATTATAATTTTATATAAAAAATTTTTTTTCATCAAACAAATTATTCTTAAAAAAAATGCATGAAATAATTAGTTTGCCACTTGAACTTCTGACTGAAATATTCAAATACATTGAAGATGATTACCAAACATTATATTCTTGTATCCTTGTTAACAAACAATGGCACAATATAAATATCCCAACTTTATGGAAGAATCCATTGGTTTGTAAAGACAGCACCAAAATATTAATTAATTGTATGTTAGAAGAAGATAAAGATTTCTTAACTAGAAATTGCATTGAATTAACATTTGAACTATTGGAGAAACCACCATTATACAATTATGCCAGATTTTGCACTATACTTTATGATTGCTATGATTTTCAATACCTGGTAAAAAGTAGAGAATTAAATTTACAGAATAAATTAGCAAACTTTATTTTAGATCATTCAGTTGGTATTAGAAGGCTTATTGCTGCTGGTTATATAGATTATAATTTATTAATTAATCATCATAGGTTAGGTAATTGTTTTCAGAATCTTTATGAAGTAGGTTGTCATAGTTCTTCTGATAATGGTGAATTTTTTGATAAATTAGCAAATATTTGTAAAAATATTCAATCATTAACAATAGGTTGTGGTAGTAATGACAAAAATATGTATAGTTTAGCACAGCTAATTAAAGCACAAGAGCAAATTAAATATTTATCTATCACATCAGCAATGTTACCAGATGAACTAAAAAAAGCAATATCAACACATTCACAATCAATAATTTTTTATGAATCTCATGACATTGAAGATAATTTTAATGGTTTCTTATTACCAACTTTTAAAAATTTAAAGTCTTTAGTATTAACTTCTTATAACAGTACAAAAGGTTGGAAAAATATTTCACTGCCAAACATTGAATCTGTAAAGTTATATATTACTTCTCAACCATTTACATCAGATTTGTCTGATTTTATTAATATCAATGGAAAAAATCTTAAAAATCTGAATGTTTGTGGTTATAATGATCGAGTATTGAGAAAGCTATTTCAATCAATTGCACAATATTGTAAAAATTTAGAAGATTTATCTATATTATATGAGGATAAATTAGACCAGGAATTAATGGAAGTGCTTAATAATTGTATTAAATTAAAAAGTATTAGATTTAAAAGATTTCCTGGAGGTACATTAGATTATGATAAAATATTGACAGTATTAAATGAAGCACTGCCAGAAAACTTAAAGTCAATAACTTTTACTTGTAATGTTTATAATGTTATTAATCATTCTTTGGATATTCTAATGAAGAATTGGAGAGGACCCAAACCTTTAGTGATAGGATTTGATATATATAAGTATGAAACTATGTTAGAAAGTGATGGAAGAAAAATATTAGAAAAATATCAAGATTTAGGGTTTTTAATAATCAGTAAAAAATAATCTAGAAGGTTGTAATTGTTCTTGATGAATTAGAAAAAAATCAGAAAAATACTGAGGAGGCAGATAAAAAACCTTTTAATATTTCAACAACCATAGCAACTGTTCATCCAAATCCTGTTTATACAAGTAGATTATTGAATTTTACAAATCTTCCTCAATTATTGTAGCAAACTATTTGATTTATTGTTTTTTTATTAATGATATTTTTATTTAAATTAGAGTAAACCATTCCTGTAATTAAAGTGACCTATCACCATGCCCCTTATTATCATCATCATTATATTCAAGCATTTACAATTTATTGCTTTAATATTTTATACATTTTATTTTATTTTTGTATCTGTAAATATATAATAAAAATTTTATAAAGATAAATTTGTTCATTAATATATTAATGTTTTTGAACATTTAAAAATATTTGACATATATTCTAATTGACTACTCAAAGACAAAACAGTATCAGCAATGTTATAAACAATTTTTCCTTAATTTAAAAACATTGCTGCAAAAGATTTGAATAATCACAACATTGCTGCAAAGAATTACACAAATAATAATTGTAAAGATTCACTTTTTTTTGTAAAACAAAGATTAGAAAAAAAAGGCTTCTTTTATCATTACATAAAATGAAAAAAAAAATCAAAGCATGTTTAAATTGTCTTTAGTGACTGAATTTGAAACATATATAGGCAAGTCAATATTGGTACATAGAGAAAACTTTTGCATATACACGTGTTGTCAACTTGATGGTTTTTTTTCAAATTTTGACTTTGTAATACACTTAACAAATAAAATGCACCAAGCTGTCTTTAGTGCCCAAGTTTGAAACAACATAGGGCATTTTATCTGCATAGAAGGGAATTGAAAAATCTTGGTGACAAAATTCCCAAATGAAAAAATATAATGTAATTCAGAAATTTGTTCACTACACATTCAATTATGGTTTCCATTCTAATTTTGGTAAGAAATGGACCTTTGCTACCAAGGTATAAGAATTATAGACTATGTATATATTTATACATAGGATTCTTCCAGAATCTCTACTTTGCTACAAGTTATTATGATTTTTGAGAAGTTATTATGTATGTTATTGAATTTAGAATGTCTGAAATTTTTGGGTCAAGTGTAAATTGAAAAAACAAAACTGTTCGGAGTTTTAAATATATTATTGATAAATGCAAATGGATTTCATGAACTTCATGAACTTGGATTTAGTAATGAATTAATATAACTTTTATCAGGCTGTTCACCACTAGATGTTGGCACTGTGCAAAAATTCTTTTAACCAGTTCATTTAGTCACGTGAAAATTTTAACTGGAAAATTTGATTGATGATCCGTGAATAAATGAGTGAGTCGTACATAGTAAAAATGAGGGAGAATTGACACAAAAATAGCTAATTGAGTACCTTTGCATGAAAAGTTGTACTATGTTTTTGTTCCACCACATGATTTTTTTTTACGTCCACAAATCCCAAAGAACATATTATCAGTTTTTTTTTTGTAAGTAAAAAAAAAGTTTACTCTTTAGCACCTGTAGATTTTTAAGAATTTTCATATAAATTGTCTTCAAAAATAAGAACAAATAAAAAAAAAATTTTTTTTACTTATTAAATAGATGATGTATTTTCAACCGCCTGTCTTTTGTGATGTTGACAAGAAGGATTATTTTCAGCTTCTAATTCGTCAGTTCCAACAAGTCTTTGAAGTTCTTTTAACATATCCTTGGGAGAGTATTTTTTCTATATTACCAGCCAAAAACATGATTTTTAATTGTTCAATCACATTTAAATCAAGCTTCTTACTACCTTTCTTCCCATACTCTTTAGAACAAATCCAGGTTCCAATTTTTCATCCAAGAAGTTTTTCAAATTCATATTATTTAGCAGAGAATTATTGTATTGTCTGAAACAGGATAACTGTATAGTTTATTTCCAGTGAAATCCAAATTTTTCTCTTGAAGCTTCAACCTTACTTCAGGAACAGACAATTTTTGAATTGATGGGTCAACTTCTGAAGGAAAAAATATTTTCCATTCTGATTGAGGTGTTGTTTGATTAAAGACTGTAATGTTTGGTTGATTAATATTATTATTTTTCAGAAGTTTTTTAATATCAAAAATTATTTTTTGATTTCCCAAAATTAGGTATTTCATATGCTGCTATATTCTATCTTTGTCACCAGATGGCCACATGAAAGTAAAATAATTAGAAATTCCTTTAATGGTACCAACTGTCACTCTTTTACTACAATCTGGGATTATTAGTTGAATTAGACATTTTAAGATCACAATTTATTAATAGTATTATTTAAGATTTTTTTTTTTTTAAATATAATTTTATGAAAGGCTTTTTGAAGTAAATCAAATATTTTATCTATTTATATAAAAATCCAAACAAAGTTCAAAACTTGTATCAATGTTTAAACTTGTGCCAAAATTAAACTTGTGTCAAAATTAAACTTGTGTCAAAGTGTCAAAATTCAAAACTTGCATAAGTTCAAAATTTGTATAAAAATTCGACTTATATCAAAGTTAAAATTTGTTAGTTCAAAACATGTATAAAGATTTAAAACTTGTGTCAAATTTTAAATATTTGAAACTTGCAATGGTTTTTCTTTTATTCTAAAATTTTGGTGTAATGAACACCTGTAGATTTTTTTTTTTCAAAATTAATATTAAATTTCCCTCATTTTTTAATAGTAAATTGATCGACAATTCTCTCATTTATTCGCAGATCGTCAATTAAATATGGTGCGTATCACCTATACTCATCAAAAAATGCCGATCAGTCCGAATTTTTGAATGTATATCTTAACCTTATTT